GTTGTGTGTGTGTGTGTGTGTGTGTGTGTGTGTGTGTGTGTGTGTGCTCAACTTACCAGCCTGCACAGAGCCTTCCACACGGTGAAGAAGGACTTTTGGCTGCCGAGTTTTCCGTTCTCGGACAGTGACGGTAACATCGCGCCATGAGACACTATGAACAGTGTTGTTTGCCAGAAGCTCTTCAGCAGGCAAGCCTTGTTCCACGTCCATGGTGAAGCGGTGGTATGCTTTCATAAAATAACTTTTCTCAACAGGCGTTTGGAAACCCTGCGCAGAAATTTGGCGCGGGATAGAACGATTTATTAGGCCAGCCACCGCCGGTTTGACAAAGGGGCTTTCGTGCTTTTTAGTACTTGTCACCTAGTCTACTGTGTCTGAAGCAGGCCGTGAATCCTCCCTTGCACACTATGACAAGTAAGAATTCCGAATGCATCGTGTCTCGCGCTATGCACATGTCTCACATATACCTTGGCCAGCTTGGCCAGTAGCACCGATGGCAACCGAAGTCAGCGGCTGAGGGCTGATAGAGCAGTGGCCCGCTCGACGCTTCTAGACAAGAACGAATGCGACATATTACCAAGGCTTCTTCTGCCTTTAACAACAACTGTTTTCAATACGAGGGGTAGTTGATAGGTGGACAAGGATCCTACGGGAGCATGATATTCGTAAGTTGCCTTCCCGCCATTATGACAGCGGCTGTCGATTCTAGATTTAAAAAGTCATCTAATTCGAGTAGATTGTCCTGTATATACATCCGAAAATGCTCCACGGCGCGAGAAAATCGTTCATGATGCCAGCCAGAAGTAGATCATCCAGGAGTAGTGGAAGCGTTAGTCGCACCCAGACTGCCATGTACATGAGTTGTACAACAGACTTTCCAGTCCCTCTAGGATATTTGATGATGCTCAGATGTTGAAGAGCAGCAATAATCAATTTCTGCATAATGATTCCAAAGGGTTGGAGGACAAAAAAGGCCATGGTACGTCCAATGGCCCAGGTGCAGCCAGTCACTGCCAGTGTTCCCGCAGTATGCATTATACCTGATAGTAGAAACACTGGGAAGATGTAGGCGGCTGGCTGATTCCGATACTTGGCGGGCAGCACTGCTTTCCCGCAGGACAGCAGCCCAATGCGGAATAAATCGTGCCAAAAGTCACCCCAAAATCCTGTCATGATAGTGATGTAAGCAGCCATGCACAACGTCTGGGGAGGGGGCATTACCTTGCAACCCACTCCTCAAAATAGAACTACGAGGGCCCCATAGTGGAGGAAACGTCAATCCATTCTCTGACAGTCCCAAAGGTTGGTGAATTAGCCATAGTAAAGCAAAAGATGAGTGAAGCATCGTCATGCTGGTGCCGAGCACTGACAGACAGCCAAGATATTGCAAAATTCCGAATCTAGACAACAAATTCTGCTTTGAAAAAACATTGTTCGCTTCGTTGAAGAGCATCTCGTAGCTCAGATCGATCCATAAGTAGCCACCAATCAATTTGAGAATGTGTTTTGCCGCAAAGGTGAGCTTTTCTGCTGACTGATTGGGCTCGCCTACGTTCTGTTTCGGTCGTGGGCCGTCGTGCCATTCCATGCCGACAAGGCGAAAGTTTGTTACCAAGTCGAGCGCCCAGAACAATCTGTCCCAGCTGAAGAGAACTGGTATATCCAAACAGTCCATCGTGGGTTCCTTAGGATACTTGGAGACTTGGTCGGTGAAGCGGGAACACTGGCAATGCCTCCGGCACGCGATTGATCCTTGGCAAAACATGATACTCGTGGCCCAAATAATATACCACGCTGACAAGATTCCGGTGACGTAGTCGATAACCATATTAACCTGACGTGTAAAGCACACAGTGTTCCAACTTAGAACAACGGTAACAAATACTGCGAAGCAGCGGAATATGAGATTGTGCCGCAGCCAGCAAGGGCCAACTAATATGGCAACCAAAGCCAGCGGGCTAAGAAGAAGTGCAGAAATAGAGTCCATGAGATTTTGGGCAAGTACTGAACCAATGATGCTGTAATATTCAAATTAACTTGTATTTGCTGGAGTAGCTTCCTGAGATGAGTTGTGGAAGGGAGCCTCGGAGGAAGCTGGTCATGTATCCCTTACTTAGATAAGAAGGGAGTGTCACCAGCCCTTCAAATGAGTATTTGATCCGGGGAAAAATTGGCCGAGACACGCCTCAGTTTACGCGAAAAAAAAAAAAAAAAAAAAAAAAGTGAAACACCACGTCTCGGAATATGCGCGAATTACGGATTACCTCTACCACGTATCCGTACATACTCTTATGTCTTGGGCCAGCATTCTTTACCGAGGCTTTGGAATAACTCATGAGACATTGGAGGTATAGTCGAATCCCGCCGTGGGTAGGCATGAAGGTTGGAGATGGAGAAAAGCAGGGAATCTAGCAGAGGCTTGTGATGGCCAGTATCGAGTTGAACAAGATACAAGGCCTTGGTCTGATATGCAGCTAGTCAACTGTAATGGTATCATTCGACGGTACACTTCTAGAGCATAGTCCGCAACAAGTCCAAAGCACCTGGCCAAATGCTATAATGGACTAGGTGGCTGTGAATCTAGGCAAAAAAACGGCGACTAAAATGCGGGCAATTATAAATTACATGATAAAACTCGCAAAAGCCGTCTAGAATACATCATCACTTTTTCAACATAGCTAGGATATTAAACCTTGGAATTGTTGTTGTCTTTTCCAGAGTTGGCCATGTTGAAGAATTATGAGAATTGTTAGGCTTTTTGTGAGGTTGTATAAATAGTTTCGGGCGATTCCATGCACCATGACAGTATCAATAGAAAATTTATGCCGTTTCATAGAAACAAATTACGAAATCTTGGTTCCAACGTAGAGGTTCAAGTGACAGGCTTACGTGTCTGACCAATGTTCTCATCATCATTGTGAGCCTATTCTAGAATATTGGCATCCAAACAATGTCCTCATAGTCAACATTGCTTTCCCTTGACTCCAGTCTGGGAGATTTACTGGAAAATATTTTGTCCCACAATGCCGTCTGTTTGCCGTAGTTGAAACTCTTCCTCCACCCAAATCGATGATGCAAGTCATGATCTTCTATCGCCAACTCGGCGTCACAAAGACATAGTAGCCATGATATGGGCGACGGTACAATGACGTGAACGCGAATGCCGCTGTGTCCGATGACTTCCGAAAACACGATATACTCGGAGCAGATCCACCACTCATAGAATCCGAGTTCAAGGCCAACACTCCAAAAGGTGGCGAATGTAAAGAGAGGAATAAGAACCATTTCAGTGACCTCTTGTTCGTCGTCGGCCCACGCAGCCATGGCAGCAGTAGGGTGCTTACTCAGGTGGTGGGTGCGGTGATACTTCCACATGAATGGAATCTCGTGACAGGCGCGGTGATATATGTAGAACCAAAAGTCAAGAGTGATGCCGTAAAGGCACAGTTTGAGAAAGGAAACAGGCCAACAAGATATATCAGTCATGGCATCTAGTGGGGAGGTATGCGAGTCATATGTGAGAGAGACTGCAAGTGCGAGGCGAAAGAATGCTGTCTTGGGCGGGCCGACGAGTACTTTTCTTGCGCCTGTATTGGGGATTCCATCGCGATGGTGTACATCTCCATCCAAGCAGCCATGTTTGTGTATAAGACGGCGTAGTAAGAGCATTTCTCGAACAGAAGTAATGAGATGGGCCCAACCATAGAGGAGAAATGACATGAAGCTTCCAACCGTGTGTCCCGTCAGGCTAGAATATGCTTGATGTAGAGCCAATGGCACAGTAGCATAGAAGATGATGAATAAATGTTGAGATAGCGGGGCCATGTAAGGCATTTTGTCGGTTTTCAAGTGAACGGGAAGGGCTTTCCATGGGATGATGGGGTAGAATCTATTCCAGTCAATGAGTAATTGGTATAAATTCCACTGACTCTTATCCTGTAAAGTCCAATCAGAGGTCATGGAGTGTGAATCATGTTTTTTAGCCCAGCCCATTGCTATTACTCTTGATTCTGTGGCGAGCGATTTGAATTTTTGTTGCTGTGCTTTCCTAAGCGGCTGGGATACGGTGAGGGCGATGGTGTGGGCTGGTGGTTGGTTGTTGATGTAATGTAGAGACACGGGCTTGGGGAGTATGACGATAGCTTGAACAACGGCAAAGTATACATGTAAACGAGTCCCGGCCATTAAGAGCTTACTATAACTTGAAATTACTATAACTTGAAAGGGGGTATGTAAAAACACGCTGGCCCATTCCAAAACTTTGCAGATCAGCATTCGTTGTGAGACTCGTCTCTGATTTGCCCTGAATTTTTATTTGCCTCATTCCATGCCCACCTCCTTACAGCTAGCAAAAGACAGAGGCGGCCGGCTCGTCAACGCCTCCGATCTATCGGTCTAGAACAGTCTGTCTTTAAAAACCTGGACAGACAAATCAGATATCTTGTCACCACAGAAAGGGGCGGTTTTCGGCCAAAATGTCGAGACGAAATAGCACTGCTAAATGTGTGAGCATGTCGAGATATATTATACCGTAGTTCTCATAAGACAATTAGATATACAGTTGTTACAACTATTAATTTATCAACAATAATTATCACAAGGTTATTTATTAGTCTTGATTTATATGATGAATTAATTAATTATCATCTTATAAGTTTGTATAACTATGTGGAGGCTAATATATAAGAGCTATTATATAAATTAAAGTAGGGCTTTCCTGGCTTCTAGCCAATGAGAATTCAGTGCCTCGATAGGCACGACAACAACCGTGTAAGCTGGGGCTTGGACGGGATTGGCGCGGGTATTAATGCTATAATTACAACTAATTTGCCTGCGAATCCAAGTCAACAGGTCACCTGTATCTGCGGGTGGGGGTCAAAGGCCTAACAAAGGCTACACCAACCACTAACTTGGATCCATCCATTCACATTTGGACCCCAGTCGCGTGGATGTTGAATGTGCTACATACCAGACCTGAGCTCAACATTTGTAAATATGTACTTGTAAATATGTACTTGTAAATATGTACTTATAAATATGTACAGTAAAATGTGTACATAGGATCGACTACTTATCTAACAGGCAAACCTCCGACGAGACAAGGAAACTTGCGCCCTACTTGATTCTCGAGCGAGTTGAGGACCAGGTTCCATATATTCACGTCGTAGGGCTCGCTAATATGGCCGACGATGTCTAGCGGGCAGTAGTCCTGGACACTAATGTTGTCAACGCCGTCCTCGTAAATAAAGGCCGATTTTGGCGGGATGACGATTGCATCTAGATTGGAAATAATAACAGTGACCTTGTTGCCAGGCTGCACAATGGCTTTGCCGTCGTTGAGCTTGACAACGCTGGCGCCGCCGATAGAGAGTTGATCGCACGCGGCGCAGCCAATCACTTCGAGGAGGCCGGCATCGTGGTCTAGCGGGGGGGAGAGCGACAAGAGATTCGCAATCGGAGTGCCGTGCGTAGGCGGCGCAATGGCGACAATGTGGTCGACGAGGGCGGCAACGCCGTCTCGGAACTTGGGCACGTAGAGCGCCTGGAAGCCGCCCTCGGAGTGGCCGACAATATCAATCTTGCCGCCTCCATCGCTATAGCCGACCGTCTTGGCGTGCACCTCGTAGATAAAGTCGGCAATCTGGCGCGACGACTCGTCTATCGGCGCGAAGCCGCCCAAAAAGGGACTGCCCTTGACGGCGCCATAGGTAAGGGAAAAGGTGCAGAAGCCGCGGATCTGGAGAAAGGCCTCGAGCACATGAAGGTCGTCGTAGTAGGTCGCGCCTAAGCCATGCAGCAGCACCACTGGCCTAGGGTGGTTGGCGCTAGGCTGGCACGAAAAGTCATTGTGCTTGCCAATGCTCGTCGTCTGGAGCGCCTGGCCGTCCGCAAAGGTCGTGGCTAAGATGAGCCCAGCGAGAGCGGCGGTCGAGGCAATCGTGACGTGCATGATGATGAGGAGGAGGAGGAAGAGGATGAGGATAAACAAATCTGCGGGAATGCGATTGGCGACGAGCTCTCACAAAGGGCCATCAGTCTTGCGGAATCCAAGCATGCCAGCGCTTTATACTGTAGACTTGTTAGACTCGTCTTTTGTCTCTGACATGCCAGTGCTTTGTACTGCAGGCTTGTTAGATTCGTCTCTTGTCTCTGACATGCCAGTGCTTTGTACTGCAGGCTTGTTAGATTCGTCTCTTGTCTCTGACATGCCATTCACGGCCCCTCCTCGTCAGGTACTACTAAAAATGTCTTGCATGTACTCTATTCGGCTGAAGAGAATCAGCAACTAAATAACTTTTCCCTCCAAAATCATGAGGATGAGCGGCAATGTCATCAAAAGCCCACGTCTAGATCCGTACAGCTCATGGACAGCGACTTCAAGCGGTGGTTTAGAAAAGTAATTCTCTGAATAATTGCCACAGAACCAAAGTTGGCTTATTGTTTCTCATATAAAAGAAAATGTCATTTTTTCTAACAGTGCACGTTTTTCTCTATGCTAGCTGTCTTTCTTCATGCTGGGCATTCTGGTCTTTTGGTAGTCGACTTTACGCGGATGGTTTTTCAAATAATTTGAAATGAAAAACATGACAAAGAGCCAAGTAAGCGGGATAAGCGAAACAATACCGAGTGCAGCTGTCAGTCGTTCTGTGGACGAAATCATGCACGGTTGTCTAGCTTCTGCACTCATGATGCTGGGTGAAGCATCATCGTCGTCGCCATATAATTTTGTCATGGCAGCGATTGTTGGATTGTCAAATTCAATAAAGAAATGTATGACACCAAATACTCCACCGACAACGAATTGTACGATTTGTAAAAGTGTGAGACTTTGCTTGATAGCAATCGGTACCCGTATGCTGATGCCTCGTGACACATAATAGGTGTACTGTGATTTGCGATGATTAGCATCTTTGTCGTCTGGTACTTGGATCAACGCAGCAACTGACCATTAATGAATGTACAAAAGAGTTCAAAAACACGAGAATCCAAGCTGGTGAGGCCATGACACGGTAGCCAAGCCAGGTACCTACCAAGACACCACTGTGGTGGTATATTTGTAGAAACGAGCTCTCTTTACCCTTTGCGAGAATAATGAATGTGTCAAGAAACTCGTATAACTTGCTGACGTAAAATAACCACCCGTAATACGCCATGCCCTCACTCCAGATACGACCAGAAGGCATACTCAACGGGTAAGTGCCATTCATGGCGGCGAATGATACCTCGGCATCAACGCTAGTCCAGCGGCCAAGTGTTTCGTCGTAATATATTGAGCGTCCCAGTCCTGCGGGACCATGAATGCGGCAGAGGCTGTCGTACGTTGCCGACAATCCCGCTGCGCCCCCTGGACCGACAAGCGTTCGTCGCAGCACTCCTACCATGCCGCAGAATGTCCACGCCGAGTAGACAGCTAGCAAGGAATTATGCATAATGACAAACTTGGAGAACCATGGTCTTTTGCTGATGGGCCACGGCTTGGCATCTCGCGATCTGTTGTATTTGTTGAGCGCACCCACGGCGACCACGTAAAGTAACGCTGCTGTGATGGGAAATCGAGGCTCCAGCGTAGCCTTGAACACGCTTTCAGGTATGTTGAATGGCCTCATTATGGAGAATTCCGCAGTCGGAGGGGGAATAATAGGAAGGTTCCCTGCAGATCCAAGAATAACAGAGTCGAATAGCAGCATGATGGGCAGCAACTGGCAAGGCAGTAAAGCAAGTCGTTGTTCTTCATTCAATGATTGGCTGGCTGTGTGACAAAGGCTTTAAGCCGTGGTGAACAAAGGAAACCATGGTAGAATGCGTCAAAAGATGGGATTATATATGTGAAAAGCACTGTTACGGAAAGCAAAGGGATATAGTGAATGCTAGGAATGTTCAGCGCGCTGGGGTGGCCGGATGATGCGCGTTGGAGGCCCTAACGTTACATACCAACCCATGAGACATACAGTGCACATGTGACCTGTTGACTTGGATTCGCAGGCAAATTAGTTATTAATGATATATATTTCATGACTTGTATTCAATCTCATATATGCCCTCCTATATCAGTGCTTGGTATTATATGGCATAGTTTGCCCTATACACTGCTGTAGTCGACATCCAACTCTGTCCGTGCCTGCCGGTTGACTGCAGGTGCCTTTTTTTCACTATTCAGTTAGATGGTTAGCTAAAGTAAAGGTGCCGCGCTTGCAATCTTGGGTAGCTTTGTCGCCTTTTTCAACCTTCATTTCATTGTCGCCTGTCGCATTGCTCGGTAGTTGACTAGCTGCTGGTTGACCGGCGGGTGATGATTAACATACTACGTGTCCACTACCACGGCCGATGACGACCTATCGAATCATGTGAAAATGTAAAAAACAAATCGCTAGCCTTTCCATCTAAAAGTTTTGCACATATTCTACAGCTTAAGCTGTCCAGCCTCAATCCTTTTCCAGTCCTTGTCACGAAACGGCACATACACATCACCCTTGAGCCAGAACATGGCGACGCCGCCGCTGCCCTGGCCGTCTTCTTTGGCAGTCGGCTTGACGCCCAGCTTGCGCAGGTTGTACTTTTGCTGCTTGTTGGTGCCGGTAGTGTCGGCGCCGAGCTCCGGCACGACGCGCAGAAACAGAGGCACGGCGTAGGCCGGCAGCGTGGCCCGCAGATGCGCGGCCAGGCTGCGCAGCGTGTCGTCGTCCGGCCGGGGTGGATCAAAGCACACGGTGACGCAGCCGGCGCGGCCGTCGTGGTGCGGCAGCTCGACGCCGTAGACGTTGGCCTCGCGGACGGCCGGGTGCAGGCCCATGACCTGGCTGACCTCGGCGGTGGAGACGTTTTCCGACTTCCAGCGAAAGGTGTCGCCGATGCGGTCCATGAAGAAGAGGAGGCCGTCGTCGTTGTGCTGCAGCACGTCGCCCGTGCGGAACCAGGCGTCGCCGGGGCGGAACACGCTGCGGAGAATCTTGGCCCGCGTGGCGCGCTCGTCATTGAAGTAGCCCTGAAAGCGCGCCTCGACCACGTCGTCGGGGCCATCGGGGAGGCGGAACAGCATCTCGCCCGAGGTACCGGGCCCGGCGAGACGGCACAGCCCCGTTTCCGGGTCCCGGCGGGGCGCGTCGGTCGCCCAGTCCATCTCGACGAGGGCCGTGTTGCGGCCGACGAGGGTGCGCAGCAGCCAGCCCGCGCGGCCGATGGCGCCGACGCCAAAGTCGTTGCTCGACAGGTTCCAGGTCGCGAGCGTGCCCTCGGTGGCGCCGTAAAACTCGGCAATGGTCTCGACGCCGAAGCGGTCCTGGAAGCGCTTCCAGACGTCGGGCCGCAGGCCGTTGCCAAAGGCGATGCGCACGGCGTGCGCCTTGTCGAGGTCGGCGCCCGTGACGGCGTCCTTTTGGGGCGGCGCGGCGAGGAGGTAGCGGAGCGTCTCGCCGACGTACTGGATCACGGTGGCGTGGGAGGCGCGCACCTCGGGCCAAAACGTCTTGGTCGAGAACTTGCGGCCGAGCGCGAGGGTGCTCCCGCCCATGACGGTGGCGCAGAAGCCGAGCATGGAGGCCGAGGCGTGGTAGAGTGGCATGCACTGCCCCGAGGTCAGTTAGTATCGTAGGGAAGAAGAATGCTAAAGAGGTTGAGTTCTGGTCTTTACCGTGTACATGACATCGTCGCCACGACCTAGAAAGTTGACGCTAAACTTGGAGCTGACAATGAGCTTGGCCCAGGACACAATGGCCGGTTTGGGCAGACCCGTGGTGCCCGACGTGTAGATGAGGATGCCCATGCTGCCGGTAGCCTTGTCGGAGCGCTCGCTGTCCGGCCGGCGCACCGGCTCGGCCGTCCGCGCCGCGCCCTGCCGCTCCTCGTCAAACACGACAATCTGCACGCCCTCCGTCTCCCTCTGCACAAGCTCGTCGTCGAAATGGTGCGCGACATTCGGGTCCACCAGGCAGACCTTGGCCGTCGACGCCTTGACGCAGTGGGCGAGCGGCGTGCTGGTGAGGTTGAAATTGATAAAGGCCGGCTTGGCGCCGATGCTCCAGAGCCCCCACCAGAGCAGCAGAAAGGTGTCGGAGTTTTGAAAGTCGAGCGCGACGACGTCGCCAGGCCGGACGCCAAGGTGTGTTCGTAGGTACGCACCGTGGCGTAGGACCCCGTCGTAGAAGGCGCGGTAAGTATAGGAGGTGCTGTTGGCGCCGCTGCCGCCGCTGCTGCTGCTGCTGCTATCAAAGAGGAGGAGCAGCGTCTTGTCAGCGTGCGTGGCGCTGGTGGCGCGGGCCTCGAGTGCGTAGAAGAGGTTGAGGCGGTCGACCCAGCCGCCGTAGACGATGCCGGCGACACCACGCAGGATGCCGCCGAGCATGAGCGTGTCGTACCATAACGAGAGCCGGGCATTGAGGTACGCGGCGGCGCCGAGGGCGGCGGGGACGGCGAGGGAGAGCGGGACGGCTGCTGGTGGTGGGTTTTCAATGTGTTAGATGGACCGGGAGTCCAGAGGTAATTGGGGGGGTGTAAATTAAGGAAAGAAGTCATGAATACTCCGTAAAAGATGTAAAGATACGTACAAGACATGGCGGAAGCCCAAAGTGAGACAGTGGCTGAGACTTGGAGCAGGGGAGGGAGGATGAGATTGAAGCCGATAATCAAATTCTTAAGAAGCAGACTTGGAAAAGAAAAAAAAAGATTTGAGAGCGAATGAAGCAGTTTCGGCCAACGACCAAGAAACAATGAAACCCCAAGTCAAAAAGCCCGCCAGAAAATCAGGCGATTGCTGTTCACTGCCCTTGTCTCTCGTTGGTTATCGACGAGTATATAACTTGATCATATAATAGACCCGCGCTGGTCGGTGGAGCAGCTTTAGCTCGCCGCAACGCTGAAAAAGGGAAGCAGAGCTCCCCCTCTTTATTTTATTTTTGCCTAATTTAGCGTAGATGCCGAGGCAGAAGAAGCTTGCTTGCCGAATGCCTTGTATTTTCAGTGACCCCTCAGTTTCCCCTCCTTGAACTGCTGCGTCAGTCCCTCCTCCCTCCCCCCCCCCCCCCCCCGCCTGGCCTGCGCGGGGCGGAGCATTCGGGGCCCGGATGTCATTACATCTGTTGTGTGTGTGTTGATGCTGTGTTCTTTTACACCAGCTACGTGGTCTGATGCGGTCTGGGTTATCGTATGTGGCTGCATACACGGACACGGCAAGGTTTGAGATTTAACAGTTGTCGTGTGGTGGTACAGACAGCTCTGAGTCTTACTCTACTCCTAGCTGTATGGTGAGATGCTGCGTCTGTCCAAAAATCATTGTGTATACTCAAACGCACCGTCTTCCCTCCTCTCAATAAATAGAGCTCTCTCAAGATTCTTGCATGAACCATTCATCATCGCAAGGGCCCGGTACTCAAGCCCGCAAGTCCACTCCCGCTCCCTTTCCTGTCTAGGCAACCCGCTAGGGGCAAGGCCTCCAATAACACATCGGCTTCTATCTAGTTACGGGTAGATGTGCAGAAACAAGATTCGAGTTCAACGTTGTGGGTGGGGAAGCTGCGTTTTACAAAAAGAAAGGAAGAAAAAAGAAAGAAGAAGATTTTGTATAAAAAAATAAATAAAAAAATAAATAAAAAAGAAAGAGAGAGAGAGATAGAGAGAGAGAGAGG